AGATTGAAAAGATACTTGGAATGAGGGTAACGAGAAAGCGTACAGAACGAACTATCTTGATTGATCAAGAGCAATATTTGAGGTCAGTGCTTGAAAGATTTGGAATGACAGCAGACAAATTTAAAGCGAAGAAAATTCCAGCATCCGACTATGAGTGAATTCGTCCCGCAAGTAAAGAGGACAAGAGAATCGATGTCACAGAATATCAACAAGGCATCGGAAGCTTAATGTTCGCTATGGTGTTAACGCGACCGGATATCGCTTTCGTTCTTGGAAAGCTATCTCAATTTATGACTGATCCAGTAGAACATCATGGTCATGCGCTAAAAGAATTGTTTCGCTACCTGCGATCAACTGTCACCCAGAAACTGCGTTACGGACCTGGGGGAGCGCATAAACATTTCGTTGTTTACTCCGATGCCGACTGGGCAAGTGACAAATCTGACCGAAAAAGTGTATCTGGAAGTGTAGCAATGTTTTATGGTGGCCCTATCTCCTGGTCTAGTAAAAAACAGCGATCAGTAGCCACATCCACTTATGAATCTGAATACGTAGCACTCTCTGCTTGTGCAAAACATGGTCAGTGGATCGCCCAAATATTCAGAGACTTGGGATGCCCTGACTATATTGGACTAAATTCTCAGAAAGTTCATATGATAGGCGATAATCAAGGGGCACTCGCTCTTGTCAAAAACCCCCATCTTCACGAGCGATCGAAGCACATCGACATCTGTTATCATCATACCAGAGATCTAGCGGAGAGAGGAAAACTTGATGTTGCATATATCCCTACTACAGATATGGTCGCAGATGGTATGACGAAGCCCCTGTTAAGGATTAATTTCGAAAAATTTAAATCATAGCTAGGAGTTGTTATGTAGTAAAACTAGAGTCACCTTGACTTGCTCTGTGGGGGAGTGTTAAAATTATGGAGTTCAGAGATGAGTCAGGTGATGCTTAATGGAAGTAATTGATGAAGGGTTTGGTTGTTGGGTTTTCTATGATTTCTGTGTTGGGATACACTATGTCGATCCTACTGGGCTCGATAATTAGTAGTACGGACCGACTGGTGTTTGAGGAACGGAGATTGCGTATACCCTGTGCTAGCGTTTTTTTTTTTTTTTGCATCAGATTTTAATTGCGTATGCAGCTATCTAGCTATGACACAATATCAAAGAAAATTACAGAAAAGATAATTCAACATAAAGGAAGAACACTCATGCCTCAGATTTCATTTGCAAGTACCACTGCGAAGTTATGGTGGCTTTTTCTTCACCCCAAGTCAACCTTCATCCGTGAATACCCACCCAGGGGAACATCTCAAAAACCCTGAGTTACCCAGAAATGCCTCCATCATCTTTCAACTTTTCTCCGCGCGAAATATGATCTGAGATGTCTCCTTCCCAAATGGAGTAGGTGCCCAGGCTACTCAGACTATACCGGAGAACACCGCCAGGAGGCGGACCACAACACCTTCCATCGTTTGCTTGTGTTTATAGTGTCAGCTGCACTCTCGCAAGCGAAGTCTTGGCGCGCACAAAGCTCAATTCGTAAAACTCTTGCCAAAATTCAAAATTTCACGCCCGTCGAGACTGTATCCCTCTTTTGCATCATCTTGTAAACTTGTCCTGATCCCTCTCACATCCATCCCAAAGAACTATCTCCCAGATTTGTGCTCCACACTTTACTTCCTCCGTCGGGTATAAATATCGGCGTGGGCGTGTATTTGGCGATCAAATAAGGCCAGAGAAAGTCGACTAGAGGTGTGATCATTGGGGTGAGGATGTACTATGTCGTACTTGTAGACTTGATGAAGCTTAGTCGAGAATCGGACTCCTTGCGAATGAAAGATTGACGTGGTGGAGTTGTTTGAATCATTGCCTCGTGGGCCAACTTCTTTGATATTGCGAAATTTGACTGAACTTGGCTCTGGGGGAATATTTCACTCCCAGGTTCGTAGAGGACACCGCGTACAGGTGTTCAGTCTTGCCCTCCGACCTGGATACATGGTGGCCCGCTATATAACTTCGGGTATTTTATATGCGCAAGCACTTCAGGCAGCCAAGACGTACGGAGCCTTTCGATGAACAATCATCGGTGTCAGAATATTTTCTGAAATTATGGTGTTAATAAAGCAAAATATAAATCCGAGGCATGAATGCTCTTCCTTTACGTTGAATCATCTATTATGTACATTTCTTTGATATTGTGTCATAGCTAGATAGCTGCATACGCAATTAAAATCTGATGCAAAAAGAAAAAAAAAGCAAAATATACTTTCCTTTCGACCAGCGTCTGTAGACAGTAAAAATCTGTGGAAATTCACTTCTTTTTTTCACTAGGCCAAAATCGGTCATGTCTTCGTGGTTGATTTAGATACTAGGGCCCAGGAGTGTTGCGTGTTTTAATGAAGTAACATAACTGCATGGCAACAAATTATTCCGGAGGAATGCAAGACTGAACACCTGTACGCGGTATCCTCTACGACTCTGGGGGCGAAATATTCCCCCAGAGCCAAGTTCAGTCAAATTTCGCAATACCGAACAAGTTGGCCCACGAGGCAATGATTCAAACAACTCCACCACGTCAATCTTTCACTCCCAAAAAGATCGAATCCTACCTAAGCCTCATCAAATCTACAAGTATGACCAAGTACATCCTCTTTCCAATAATCACACTTCTTGTCGACTTTCTCTGGCCTTAGCTGGTCCCCAAATATACGCCCACGCCGATATTTATACCCGACGGAGGAAACAAAGCGTGGCGCACAAATCTGGGAGACTGTTCTTTGGGATAGACGAGAGAGGATTCATGATAAGTTCACAAGATGATGCGAAAGATGGATACAGTCTCGACGGGCGTGGAATTTTGAATATTGGAAAGGAGTTTTTACAAATTGAGCTTTGTGAGTGCCAAGGCTTCGGTTCCGAGATTGCAGGCGACACTATAAACACCGCCATGGTTGGATGGTGCGGTGGTACATCGTCTTGGCCGGTCTGCCAAGTAGAGTCCGGAACGCTTGGACACATATCCCACTCGAGACAGTAGATGGCTGGTTCAAATCTGGCAAAACACAACCACTTTTCTCGCAGCGCTGGTAGGCATGGATGACGAAGGCATGCTTGGATAATCAAAGGTTTTGAAATTCCCTTTGATGGGTACTTACGGAGGAGGGTCGACTGTTTGTGTAAGCAAGTAAACCTCAAAGTGGTATTTGCGAAGAAACCCAGAGTATGAGTGTCTCTAACGTCAAAAGAGTCATCCAACATGTATACATAGCACAGGTCATGTGTCAAAGCTAGATAGCTGAATACACATCAAATGATTTTTAAAAAAAAATATATATATATATATATATATCAAGGCCAGGTAATGCCCTGATATATATCAGTCTTGTTCTTCTATAAACTTGCATCAGAGTACTTATTGGGTTAAAAATTTAGTTAGCATTTTAGAGATCAACTTTCACCCAAATTTCAAGACTTAATAGGCATCCTGCGAAAGTAATAATAGGCGTGCTTGGTGTCTAGCAAAAAAACCTAGGAAAAGTTTATAAGGAGTAATATTCCTTAACATAATTTCCTCCTAATCATTCCTCTTCCCTGTCCTGTGATCCTACAGTGTTCGAATCCTAGCGCCTATCCTACCTAACACTGCTGGATTTATATTCTCCATTGAGACTCTCTTTCTAATCGTCAATAAAGTTATGCTTAGTTGATATTTTGAGAGCGCCATATCATCTTCGTGATGCTAAGACTTGCTGATCTTGTTTGTGCGTTATTGGATGGGTTGAAAGTGAGATAATGAGTTACGGTTCATGCTGTAAAAGGACTGCTCACGCTAGCTGTTCGCACAACTGAATCCAAAATGGAGTTTATATTCTGTATAACGAAAGGAGTACATGAACTACGCAATTAAGGATATGCTGAGCCTTACGTAACCCATCCGAACTTGGGTAACAAATAATGTCACGTGAACAATCATTACAAATGGAATCGGACAACTCTGATTCTAACCATACAAGGCGGTAAGCCTGTAACACATGTTACGTCTATGACTTTTTCAAAAAATTAAGTAGTGATAGCTGAATTTATCGAAATAAGGTTGTTTCCCTTGTGAAGCTTCAAACTGTAATTGTTGGTGGTTAGAAATTTAGCTTCTTGATTTTTCGCTTGAAAAAATTCTGTAGTTCAGGGTTCCGATCAAAGAGAATGAGCCTGACTAATTGAAGCCAAGGATTCATTTTGAAAAATTCCTAATAGATTAGTCGAGTAGGGCTGAACGTCCCCACTGGGGAAATAGTTCACTCTCAGTTCTTTTAGGTACTGCATGTAGGTATTTAACTTCGTCAAACGCCAAAGCTTTATTTATTGAAATTTAGATTGATTGAGACTAGAAAGTGGGTCGCGTTTTAAAGATACCCTTGACTAGATATTATGTGAGTAGTTTCACTCCAATAACTTAGCTAGATGTATGTACTCTAACAGATCATAAATAAAAAATCTCATTATTGATACTATTAAAGATTTGGTCTATTGGGCACTTTCGGATATTAGTTGATATTTCCGTGTTAATAAAATTGTTTCATGGCGATATTTGCGGATATATGGCTAAGGTAAGAGTGTCATGTTAACAAAGAGAAGTCATACAAAGTAAGATCAGATTTATATTATAGTCCTTACTGAGTAAGACTATGAAGGACTTAGGGAACCTGTATAAGATAATGAAGTCATATCATATTTGCACAGGAAACGGAGTATAAATTAATTTTAGAGTGAGATGTAAAGTAGACTAACCAAAAAGGTTAAAACTTATGAAACGCTGAACCCATGCCCATCCCTGGAGAACTTATAAAGATGTTTGTAGTAAAAAAAACTTCATGACATACCCAGAGAAAAAAAATCAAATACACCAACACACCAACTCGTTCGTAGGCCTGAATTTCACATCAATCATCATGCTAAGGTAACCCTCTGGAAAACACGGACCAGTTATGCAGATCAAATCTTGCTTTTGGGTGCAATAAAGGCAATTTTTCCGGTCAAAGTTTCTTCAGCTTCCCTTTCAATTCGCTTCATGAGCTCATCACATGTTGGAATGTCGTGAATAAGCCCCACTAAAGACAGTTAATAACACTTTGTCTAAAGTCAAGAAACCACTTACAAACTTGACCAGCTGTCCACACCCCATGTTCAGGGTCTCCAGTCAGATAGACCTCTCGCCCTCGTTTTCCAGAGACAAACGGAGCAATTTCCTCAAATTTTCCAGTTGTAGACTCCTTTTCAATTTTGGCAGCTTCTATTGTGATTCGGTTTTTAAAGAGCCGAGTAGTATTAGACCAGCGCCTCATAATAAGATGGGTGCTGTTTTCATCTGCTTTGACGATCTCTTGTTTGATATTTTCATGGATTGGAGACTCTACTGTACACATAAATCGAGTTCCCATGTTAATTCCTTCCGCGCCAAGGCATAGTGCTGCTGCTAATCCTTGACCATCGGCAAATCCTCCGGAAGCAATGAACGGAATGCTCAAGGCCTGTCGAGCTCTTGATAATAGTATAAAGTTTGTAATATCACTCTCGCCAACATGACCTGCACACTCGAAGCCATCGATACTTAAAAAATCGACGCCGAGCTTGATAGCACTCTGTGCGTGTCTTATTGTTGTACACTTGTGAATTATGATAGCGCCAGCGGTTTTCAATTGTTTAATAACGGGTCCTGGGCTATTTCCCGCAGTTTCAAAAATTCGAATTCCTTCTTCAATTGCTACGCTTGCATATTCGGCATAAGGTGGTGGTACCATAGACGGCAAAAGCGTTATGTTTACTCCGAATGGCTTTTTGGTCATAGCTTTACATCGCTTTATCTCTTGCCGTAGATCTTCTGGTGTTGGTTGTGTTAATGCTGTTAGGATACCCAGCCCACCAGCGTTAGAAACAGCCGCAGCAAGCTCAGCATAGCCAACCCACTGCATACCACCTTGGACCACCGGAACTTGAATAGGTTAACATATTATCATTCTTGAAGCAACTATAATAGTGCCTACTTTGTATTCCAAGAGCCTTTGTCAGCTTGGTATTAAACGGCATCTTTTAGTACCACGAATTGCGTTATATGGGTATTGTTTCAGTTGTGAGAATTAATACCGATTCTAGAGCCAGGTGACGAGTTAGACTAGAGCTGTCCATATCGTAAGCTAGCCGAGGCTCGGAGTCTCGGGATATCGGGGCTTGGCTAGCTTCATGTGACGGTCCCTTTTTATGTGGAGCTTCATTTGTGCAACGCTACCATGACGTCATTACAATCATCTTCGTCAGCACCTTGAAGTTTAGACCCTCTAAGTAATTGTATATTATACTCTTTTAATTGCCTTATTGTTGTATGTTTATTGTGATACCTGAGTCTATGACTATCTAGCACATTGGGCTCTTCTCTTACCCAGGCCACACCTTGTACAGTGCTCCTATCCTCTTTTGTTACATGAAAGATCATTGATAAATTCCCCTTGATGAATAGCCATTCAGCTCAGTCTTTACCCGTGAAATTCGGCCACCTTTTCCACGGAACCTTCTACCCAAAAAAAAATGGTAGCAATGGAAACTACGTACGCGGGGAAAAGTCTCAAAAAACCCTCATCCCCAGCCGGGCAAGGCCTAGACACCGGGACCACATGAGGTGCGCATATGCATCTATATCTCACTTCTTTGTAACATTCGAGGCCGACTTGATCCTATCCACCATCTCCGTATCGGGTGCTGGGTACGCTCCGGAAACTCATCGGATGGCTTTTCCTCCATGATCAAGGGTCGATGATGAGTAGGACTCCAATCCTATCATCTGATCTGATCGTGATTAGCTTCATGCTAATGGTGATGGGGGAATGTGTTGAGAGATGAGGACGATACAGACGGCGAAAGCGATTGGGAATCCTCGTCAAAGTGAGGACTTTGTTACTCAATCTCAGCTCTGCAGACTCTACAGTGAGAGCTGGAGGTTCGTAGGGGACACCACTGACAGGTGTTGAGAATAGCCACCCTGGAAATAACTGTATGTACAAAAGAACAAGAAAAGAATTTCAATCAAAATTATTTTTTCACTGACGGTTAATGCTATCAAGCCCATTCTAGTCTCCTTAAAAGCTCCTCAACTTGTAGGCTGGATAAGTGTCTAAAGATTCAAGACCGAGTCGCCGATGCCCCGTCCTTCTTCAAAAGCTTTGGTTGATATGTCGGTAAAATAAATTAGGTGTCTTGACGGCGAAGATTCGTAACAAATCGAGTATTTAGCGTTCATCGTCAAGTTCTGAAGGTATTGAAGGTCAGTACTTTGATCGTACTCTCAAATTAAGCAGTAGCTTCGGAGAGCTAGACATCTTCTTGATTGATTGATATAAATCTAAGTATTTACTGAGTCCTAGGCTATAAAAAACCACTTTAGGATCTGTCCAATCGGTTTCTTCGTTTAGAGTTTAATTTACATTGTGAATATTAAAATTTTATGCTTGTTGATCCAGTGGGTCAAGTGTCAAGGTATGGGTACGTGGAAGATTGACGAGGTCAGATCTGGTGAATGAGATTGTCTACAAGGAGGAAAGGTGGTCAACCTGAGGCTAGAGAGTAACTAAATACAGACGCGTTTGCGCTCTACGCGATTCCCTAATCACACGTGACCCTATCTAAATGTAGCAATACCCTAACATCAAGCCCTATAGATATCCGCTTGTATCTTTGACTTGTAAATCTTCTACCCTCAAAATTGTAGGGAATCTCACTAATGGATGTTCAGCTTTCCTTTGGTAAGCAATTTTGGAGAAATGAAATCTAGGGAGACTCGAACCCTGGTTGGGACGGTGAGGCCTGCTCTTACCGAGACCAAGGCTAAATTCAAAGACATGGTTACTGTTATGCTCAGCTATGTAGTATGGTAGATCTAGTAGCTGGTGCATAGGTAGTTATTATGACAGCATGGCATCATGGCGCATGGAGGAGATCCAGTCTCTACAAACCGACATTACAAGTAGTAATGTGTGCAGTATGAGATACGGGTTGTTGATATAGGATAAATGGCATGGCCGCTTAGTTGGTTGCACACTTTGGTGAGCTGCATACTGGTAACGTGATCGGTCTACAAGGGAACAAGCTAGGGGATAAGGGACGAGCTTCCCCCAATCTGTAACATAATAATGATCATAGTCACTTCACTTCTGCACACTAATGAAGATATCTCCCCATATACTATCTTAGCTGTTCTAGCGCAAGTGTAAATTCCCAAATCATATACCAATCATAATAGTTACCTCTCTTAAGCTCTGAAGATGGTCAGCCAGCTGAGATTTATAGGCCTATAGATGCCTAAGAGTCGCTCTCTATCTTTCCAGTCTCATTTTAGATACTTCAATTATTTTCTCCCCTGAACAAATTAAGAAACATATTGTAATATATAAAATTATTGATAAATATTTTTGTTTGTATTCCGCATAGCCTAAATTTTCTGACGTCCTTTTTGAAGAGGAATGTTGTAAAATTGTAGAAGAATAAGTCTACTTGGTCTGTGTAACTAAATTTTGGAATTCAAGACTGTCAGGTGAAAACTGTAAGTCTACAGCAGAAGCTTCCGTTGGATGTTGTACATATTGTTGGAAATGGAGACACAGAGTGTTTTGGAAGTACAGGCCCGACATTTCGTCTTGGTTCCTGACACGATCTTGAGTGTATTTAAGAGGTTGGATTGAGTAATATGGTAGCGCTTCAGGCTACCTAATGGATAAATGAGCGGCTGTATGGCGCGGACACAAGGAGGTAATTGGGGATTTTTTATGCATAGATGGCGCCACACTCGTTTATGCTGTGGCTTAGGCTATGTGTCACTTACACCTGTACTTTTTTTTTTTGCATCAGATTTTAATTGCGTATGCAGCTATCTAGCTATGACACAATATCAAAGAAAAGTACAGAAAAGATGACTCAATTTGCAAGGGCACTCGTGCCTCAGATTTCATTTGCAAGTACCACTGCGAAGTTATGGTGGCTTTTTCTTCACCCCAAGTCAACCCTCATCCGTGAATACCCACCCAGGGGAACGTCTTAAAAACCCTGAGTTATCCAGAAATGCCTCCATCATCTTTCAACTTTTCTCCGCGCGATATGTGATCTGAGGTGTCTCTTTCCCAAGTGAAGTAGGTGCCCAGGCTACTCAAACTATACCAGAGAACACCACAAGGAGACGGACCACGGCACCTTCCATCGTTTGCTTGTGTTTATAGTGTCAGTTGCACTCTCGCAAGCGAACTCTTGGTGCGCACAAAGCTCAATTCGTAAAACTCTTGCCAAAATTCGGAATTTCACGCCTTTTGAGGTTATATTCTTCCTTCGCATCATCTTATAAACTTGTCCTGAATTCTCCCACGTCCATCCCGAAGAACTGTCTCCCAGATTTGTGCGCCACACTTTGCTTCCTCCGTTAGGTGTAAATATCGGCGCGGGCGTATATTTGGTGGTCAACTGAGACCAAAGAAGGTCAAAGAGTGGTGTGATCATTGGGATGAGGATGTACTAGGTCGTAATTATAGACTTGATGAGACTTAGGTAGGCGTAAAACTCGTTGGGAGCGGAAAAACGACGTGGTGGAGTATTTTGGATCATCGCCTCGTGGGCCAACTTCTTTGATATTGCGAAATTTGACTGAACTTGGCTCTGGGAGAAAACTTCACTCCCAGGTTCGTAGAGGACACCGCGTGCAGGTGTTCAGTCTTGCCCTCCTAAACTTGTACTTGTGGCGCACACTTCTCACGCTTTTAGTTATGATCCGAACATAACACTCTTTCAGTCAACTTCTACGTTCGTTCCATGAATAATTCGTCCATTTCATTGCGCGATAATTCCAACATGTATTAACCTTTATTTTTGCTAGTCTCACAGAGAAGTAATTATGAGTGACTTACTCTATGCCCATTTTTTTTATTCATTCATTTTATTGTCCTGTCTGAGTCAATGACTATGTAGGACATGCAGGTCCTCTCTGCCTACAGGCCAAGGATAGCTATACCGGTAATATATCCCCTCCTATACCTCCCATACAGCTCCCCTCAAACAGTACCACCCCTCACAAGTCCTCATTCGATAATACACTTAGAGGAGCCCTTTGCCCTTCATTATCTCCCCTCTCAAGCCAACGAAACGATGGCCATTTGTGGGTGTATGGTAGCCGGGAAAAATGGCAGAAACCACTGGGTGCGGGGCTCTTTTAATACCGACATTAGGACTAGATCCGAAGACATAGTGCCCCTTCTGAAGCGTTCGAAGAGGCCGGCCAGCTGGGCGCTGCAGACTTGTGGGTACCTCGGAGAATCCACCCTCTGCCTTTCCAGCCTCCTTCCAACTCCTTCCCGAAGGTCGTGCTGAAATGTCAGAAAAGTCTTGACAGAGCGTGGTTGCTGTATAGTAGCTTAGCCTAGCTTCTTTTGTACCGTCCAGGGCGCTGGGGAGTGCCGTTGACTCATCGAAAATGGAAGTACTCCTGGCTAATTTGCCGAAACCTTGGTCTTGGCGCCCAAAAACGTTCCAAAGTTGAAAACTCCTCGAAAATGTGAATCTCAGAATGCCATTCAGAGACCTGTTCCCCTTCTCGCTTCACATCTCAGCCGCCTGTCCTTCCTCAAGATGTATTACCCTAATATGGAAACAGTCCCCCATAAATCAAGACCCCAACTTTGTATATTATTACTTGATTTCCTATTTGTGGGTATACGTAGCGTCATAAGTTTCTAGTGAGTGATGGCCGGTGATGAACGAGGCAAGCTCCTGTTTGCAATTGGGGTGACGCCTTTATCGGTCGGCGAGGCGAGATGATAAGTGTTTAGATCGGGGTTGAAGACTCAGAATATAATGGTGAGTGCCGCATGGTTAAGAAGTCGTCAAATGGAGATATGCATGTGCTTGCTTTCGACTTCGATTCGGATGCGATTCTTCTTGGCTATACCAGATATGCAGAGCATACTAAGCGATTACACCGGCACCACTGGAAGGTGAAGAACTCGTCTTTGCCGGCTCTCTATGCCCATTGTTTTATTAGGATTCTCTCGGTCGAAATA